GGGTCAGTGTTCACTGGTAGTTCTGCTTCCGTTGTTGGTACTGTTGGGCGCGTTGTAGGTGGCGGACGATTTAGAAGTCTTTTGAAGTGTTCAGCCCAGTGCTTTCTCTATTCGACCTCTTTGGTGATTGACTTTCCATTGTCGTCCTTTATTGGCTTAATATGTGTCGAACGTTTGCCCGAAAGGTTCCTGAGTCTAAGATTATTAAATATAAGCTGGGATTTTGTTAATTCTGGTTTGATATTACTTTGATAAAGCTATTAGCAATGAAAAAAGAGAGGTATATGATTTCTGTTTAAAAAAAGTTATCACTTGAGGTGATGACTACCACAAGTGTTTGTTAAACATGTCCATTGTCCCCGCTTTTGTGAACTTGTATCATAGATGTACTAGTTCATATGACACTAATCGACTTTGGTTATGTAGAGACTGACTTATTACGAGGGATGGTATGCGGATAATATCGTTTTGCTAAGTAAGAATGTAAACTAAAGCAAAGTCTTTTGAAAAAAACTGAGCAGAAATCTTCGAATGCTTAGCAAGCGATTTGCTGCTATCACATGTAAGACGATGATGCAGGACTGGTGTGTTCCGATTCACAGTTCACGGGGAGTGAGGGGGATGGCTATGTCCATCAGTTCAATAATTTTTAAAGTTGCATAGGCATTAATTGCTGTTTAAATCACAGAGCAGATGCAAACGGCTCAAGAGAATCGCTGATAACAGTACAGACGAAATATCCGGGAAATGATAACAGGTGGGCATAGTGTATGTGCTGAATCACAGCCAACACAGGTGGACGGTATAAACAGACAGTAAGAATTCGATGCCATATTAGCAGTGTATTGGGGAAGTACACCTCATATTCTCCAGATATTCCTCTAATTATACCAGCGAGAAAATATTCAATGCTGCAACACTCTGCAATGATACAAAGCAGCAAGCAGAAAAAACAATCAACAACACAAGATTCAGACAATGCGAGAAGACGCGAAAAAAAGTAAAAAAACGGATTATAAACAGAACAAAAGATTATTAGAAAAAAATCCACACAGAGTGAGAAGGAGAACGGATAAAATAAAGCATTAGGTAACATAAAAAGAAAGTTCTAGGAAAAAAGGAAAACAAATATAAAAAAAAAAACATATCGACAACATGAAAAAAAAATCAATAAATGGAAGAATTCAAACGAAATAAGCAAATCAGATACGCAAAATAAAAAATAAAAAAAACAGGGAAATTATCAAGAACCGAAGAGAAATAAGCAGGCAAAAATTCATATAAATAACAGAAAAAATATACATATATATATAATAATTGCGTTGTGTATATTAATGAAGAATGAAATCGACATTCAAAAGATTTCCAGTGAAATAATTGGTGTTTGAATATTCTAGTAGTGGGTAATTTGAGTCAGGTTGTATTTCCGTTCAGATGAGGTGGAGTCGAAGCTGAAGAAGTCAGTCCGCTTAGATGTTGTGAAGACAGAATGATTGAATCTGGTGTTGTGTGGAAGTCTGTTGTGGAGACAAGGATGTTGTGGAGAGTGTTCCTCTGACAGTGGGAATTCAGATGTCGGCTGTCCGTGCGATGAGTGTTGGAGATAGATCTGTGTGAGTTGATTTGTATTGGGGATGACGATGATGCAGACGTCAATGAGGATAATGAGTAGGAGGAAGAGTGCGTTGAAGTGTCGGAGGGTGGCGATGGAGTTAATCATGATGATGAATAAATAGATGGCGGTGTTGTTATGATTGTTGTTGTTGTTGTTGTTGTGATTGTTGTTGTTGTGGAGATGGTGATGTTGGTGGTGACTATTTCTGCCGTTGTTGATGATTGTTCTAGTGATGGCGCTCCCGGCGCTCGTCTACACTGTGAATGTGCATGTGCATTTGGTCATGACGTTTAGTTGTGTCGAAAGTGTTGATATGATGAATCGATGCGTGTGTTCGAGTTGTTGATTGGATAATGATTGATCGTGTGGATTTCGGTGTCGTCGTCGGTGTGTTTGGTTCTCCGATATCGAGGTAGACATGTACGTCGACGTGTGTGTGTGTGTGTATGTGGGGTTTTGTTTATGTGAGTGGATGAAAGAGTGAGTGATTGTGTGAGTGATTGTGTGAGTGAGTGAGTGAATGAATTAGTGTGAGTGTGATTGTGAGTGAGTGTGTGAGTGAGTGTGTGTGTGTGTGTGTTAGTGTGTTGATTGATGAAGATGTGTTTTGTTTGTTTGTGATTGTGAGAGTTGACTGGCGAAATTGGTATCGGCGACGGTCGCTGTGGTCTAGTGGTTAGGACATTGCGTTGTGGCCGCACTAACCCAGGTTCGAATCCTGGCAGCGACATACCGGCTTTTGCACCCACCTACAAATACACTCACAAAATCCAACCATCAACCCCACACAACCACAAACCAACTACATTGTCGTCACTTCAATCGACTTCGCCAACATCAGTCAAACTTGTATGAAGAATTGTCGTGGGAAACAACCTGTTGGCAAACGCTATTCGTAGAACTCGATCCTTGTCGACTATCTCGACATTCCGAATGGCAACGTCACCACCAGATTCAGTGACTTGACAGTTTTGGCAGAGAGGCGTCTTTTCAAACATACCACACATTCGGTTCCCTTGCTCAGTTTCAATAAAGAAGGAAAGACCAGATGTGCAGTATTGGTCGATCTATTTATATTTCACAGGATCTCATCAGCTCCTGTGTGTAAATTCATTTTATGATTTATATTTTTTGTTTTTGTTTTTGATTTTTGATTACAGCTTGATTCCACACTGTATTCTTGGTACAAGTATGGAATTTTCAGCATGGATATCGGTATCCCAAATTTTGCAGGCCGAGCATAGATATCAGGTGTGAGTCGGAAGGGGTTCGAACCTCGGACCATGTGCATGGTCGGCGAGAGTCCTAACCACTGTGCCACCGACGCACAGGATCTCATCAGCTCTTGTGTGTAAACACTGCATTCGGTGTTCAGTGTGAAGCATTCAGACTTGATCTTCATACAATTATTGAATTATCTTCGTCATCTGTGTCTTCATTATTTACAACCAATGATACTGACATTCGAACGATTTCCAGTGAAATAATTGGTGTTTGAATATTCTAGTAGTGGGTAATTTGAGTCAGGTTGTATTTCCGTTCAGATGAGGTGGAGTCGAAGCTGAAGAAGTCAGTCCGCTTAGATGTTGTGAAGACAGAATGATTGAATCTGGTGTTGTGTGGAAGTCTGTTGTGGAGACAAGGATGTTGTGGAGAGTGTTCCTCTGACAGTGGGAATTCAGATGTCGGCTGTCCGTGCGATGAGTGTTGGAGATAGATCTGTGTGAGTTGATTTGTATTGGGGATGACGATGATGCAGACGTCAATGAGGATAATGAGTAGGAGGAAGAGTGCGTTGAAGTGTCGGAGGGTGGCGATGGAGTTAATCATGATGATGAATAAATAGATGGCGGTGTTGTTATGATTGTTGTTGTTGTTGTTGTTGTTGTGATTGTTGTTGTTGTGGAGATGGTGATGTTGGTGGTGACTATTTCTGCCGTTGTTGATGATTGTTCTAGTGATGGCGCTCCCGGCGCTCGTCTACACTGTGAATGTGCATGTGCATTTGGTCATGACGTTTAGTTGTGTCGAAAGTGTTGATATGATGAATCGATGCGTGTGTTCGAGTTGTTGATTGGATAATGATTGATCGTGTGGATTTCGGTGTCGTCGTCGGTGTGTTTGGTTCTCCGATATCGAGGTAGACATGTACGTGGACGTGTGTGTGTGTGTGTATGTGGGGTTTTGTTTATGTGAGTGGATGAAAGAGTGAGTGATTGTGTGAGTGATTGTGTGAGTGAGTGAGTGAATGAATTAGTGTGAGTGTGATTGTGAGTGAGTGTGTGAGTGAGTGTGTGTGTGTGTGTGTGTTAGTGTGTTGATTGATGAAGATGTGTTTTGTTTGTTTGTGATTGTGAGAGTTGACTGGCGAAATTGGTATCGGCGACGGTCGCTGTGGTCTAGTGGTTAGGACATTGCGTTGTGGCCGCACTAACCCAGGTTCGAATCCTGGCAGCGACATACCGGCTTTTGCACCCACCTACAAATACACTCACAAAATCCAACCATCAACCCCACACAACCACAAACCAACTATATTGTCGTCACTTCAGTCGACTTCGCCAACATCAGTCAAACTTGTATGAAGAATTGTCGTGGGAAACAACCTGTTGGCAAACGCTATTCGTAGAACTCGATCCTTGTCGACTATCTCGACATTCCGAATGGCAACGTCACCACCAGATTCAGTGACTTGACAGTTTTGGCAGAGAGGCGTCTTTTCAAACATACCACACATTCGGTTCCCTTGCTCAGTTTCAATAAAGAAGGAAAGACCAGATGTGCAGTATTGGTCGATCTGTGGTGGACCTTTTCACTCTGTTAGCTTAGTTACCCAAATTCAAGTAGAAAATAAAATACCAAATGAGTTTAGTTACGGGAAGAATGTATTAAAGTTTGATTACTTGAGTTTACAAAGGTCCACAGTCCACAATAAACGTAATAGACTCCAGGTGCTGCGGAAAGACTGCTCCAGTAGTAATTCTCCAATGTTAACGTTGCCGGAGGTCGACCAAAGTACGTAGGAAGAAACTACGGTGCTCCTGCAAAAATCAGAGATAGAAAGCAGGTGATTAGGATTGATCGACGGCAGTTGAGATGGTGGAGAAGACGGAGAGTCGAAGGCACAGCTGTATATTTATTCAAAACCCGAGGTAAAGTCAAAGTACAGAGTTTCTGGTTAAAACAAAGTGGTGTACAATATGTTCATTATTTACATAGTAGTAAAATTTGGATAAGTTTCTTTTTGAGGACTCCACAGGGCTCCCCCTCTTAGAGGTCCGGAGGACCATCAGTACTGTCCTCGTGGACGATTACATGAATATAAGCAATATAAATAAGGGATAATGTCAACAATAAGGATAACAAAAAATAACAACAATAAGGATACAAAGTTAGATCAGGATGTATGGAATGCATCCGTGTCGTATAAAGTTTAGCACATACAAGCACATACAGGAATTTTAAAAAAAAATCAAAACTTGTTATAATTTTAAATAAAAATTTATGTACATAATAAACCATGACATGTTTGTTAACATTTGTGAAATTCATATATAAATAGATATACACATATACGTGGTGAATGCGTGTGCTTGCAGTACAGTTGACGAACAGCAAATAATAATACTAATAAATATTAATGGTTATAATGAAGTGAATGTTAACAACAATAGTAATGAGAAGTATGTCTAAATGAGGTTAACGTTTATGTCAGTCAATGAAATGAACATAGCGGGCAGGTTTACAGATCTGCCGCCCACTGCGTGTCTGTACAGGGGGAAGAGTGAAGAGCGGGAGAGTTGGAGTTGCATTGACTTGCTGATTGTTTATTGGTGTCGGCGTTGCTAGTGTTTCATGTTCGCTGTCGGTGTACGCTGGTTTAAGACGGTCGATAGAAACAGTCTCCGGTTTACCATGTTTGTTCAGCGTGAAGTATTTTTCGGTGCGTTTAAGTACTAGAAAAGGACCTTCATATGGATGTTGTAAACCTTTTCTAATGGCATCGACGCGAACAAATACAAATTTGCTAGTGAGTAGGTTCTTATTTACTTGAGCTTTATGAAGTGATTGGCGAGGGGCTACTGGTCTAAGCTGAAGCATATGCTGGGTAAGGCGGTTGGTGAAGTCGGAGATATTTACTTCAGTTGAATCATTAGACGGAACTAACTGACCAGGCAATGTGAGGGTAGTACCATACACAAGTTGAGCTGGTGTACATCCCAAATCTTCTTTTACAGTTGATCGGATACTGAGAAGAACTAATGGTAGGTGTTCACTCCACTTAGATGAGTCAGCTTGTGCCATAAGCGAGCTTTTCAGTTGTCGATGGAAACGTTCCACCAGACCATTCGCTGCAGGATGATAAGCTGTAGTGGAGATATGGTTCACTCCAAGGAGTCTTGTAAACTCTCGAAACAGAGTTGATTGAAATTGAGCTCCTCGGTCTGTTGTAATAGTTGTGGGTACTCCATAGTTTGACACCCAGCGATCTAAGAAAACCAAAGCGATATTTTCTGCAGATATATCGTTGAGTGGACAAGCAATAGCCCATCGGGTAAATCGATCAATCGCAGTAAGTATATGAGTAAATCCTCTGGATGGCGGTAATGGTCCAACAACATCTATATGAACGTGTTGAAATCGTTTATCGGGTAAATTGAACTGTTTTGGAGGTGTGACGGTGTGATGATGTACCTTGGATCTTTGACATTGCAAGCATTGGCGGGCCCATTTCCGAATATCGGAGTTCATCTTGGGCCAAACAAAACGCTCGCTGATCAACTTGACTGTAGCACGCACTCCAGGATGAGACAATGAATGTAGATGTTCAAACAAAGTTTTTCGACAACTTAGTGGAACAAAAGGTCTATGAACTCCCGTTGAAACGTCGCAGACGATAGTTGTATCAGACATAGTTATAAGGGCTCTCGCTTCATCAACGCGATTGCATAAGGCTTCTTCATTCGTTAGTAATACTGCGTGTTCGAATCACGTCGGGCTCACCAATTATTGTGGTGGACCTTTTCACTCTGTTAGCTTAGTTACCCAAATTCAAGTAGAAAATAAAATACCAAATGAGTTTAGTTACGGGAAGAATGTATTAAAGTTTGATTACTTGAGTTTACAAAGGTCCACAGTCCACAATAAACGTAATAGACTCCAGGTGCTGCGGAAAGACTGCTCCAGTAGTAATTCTCCAATGTTAACGTTGCCGGAGGTCGACCAAAGTACGTAGGAAGAAACTACGGTGCTCCTGCAAAAATCAGAGATAGAAAGCAGGTGATTAGGATTGATCGACGGCAGTTGAGATGGTGGAGAAGACGGAGAGTCGAAGGCACAGCTGTATATTTATTCAAAACCCGAGGTAAAGTCAAAGTACAGAGTTTCTGGTTAAAACAAAGTGGTGTACAATATGTTCATTATTTACATAGTAGTAAAATTTGGATAAGTTTCTTTTTGAGGACTCCACAGATCTATTTATATTTCACAGGATCTCATCAGCTCCTGTGTGTAAATTCATTTTATGATTTATATTTTTTGTTTTTGTTTTTGATTTTTGATTACAGCTTGATTCCACACTGTATTCTTGGTACAAGTATGGAATTTTCAGCATGGATATCGGTATCCCAAATTTTGCAGGCCGAGCATAGATATCAGGTGTGAGTCGGAAGGGGTTCGAACCTCGGACCATGTGCATGGTCGGCGAGAGTCCTAACCACTGTGCCACCGACGCACAGGATCTCATCAGCTGTTGTGTGTAAACACTGCATTCGGTGTTCAGTGTGAAGCATTCAGACTTGATCTTCATACAATTATTGAATTATCTTCGTCATCTGTGTCTTCATTATTTACAACCAATGATACTGACATTCAAACGATTTCCAGTGAAATAATTGGTGTTTGAATATTCTAGTAGTGGGTAATTTGAGTCAGGTTGTATTTCCGTTCAGATGAGGTGGAGTCGAAGCTGAAGAAGTCAGTCCGCTTAGATGTTGTGAAGACAGAATGATTGAATCTGGTGTTGTGTGGAAGTCTGTTGTGGAGACAAGGATGTTGTGGAGAGTGTTCCTCTGACAGTGGGAATTCAGATGTCGGCTGTCCGTGCGATGAGTGTTGGAGATAGATCTGTGTGAGTTGATTTGTATTGGGGATGACGATGATGCAGACGTCAATGAGGATAATGAGTAGGAGGAAGAGTGCGTTGAAGTGTCGGAGGGTGGCGATGGAGTTAATCATGATGATGAATAAATAGATGGCGGTGTTGTTATGATTGTTGTTGTTGTTGTTGTGATTGTTGTTGTTGTGGAGATGGTGATGTTGGTGGTGACTATTTCTGCCGTTGTTGATGATTGTTCTAGTGATGGCGCTCCCGGCGCTCGTCTACACTGTGAATGTGCATGTGCATTTGGTCATGACGTTTAGTTGTGTCGAAAGTGTTGATATGATGAATCGATGCGTGTGTTCGAGTTGTTGATTGGATAATGATTGATCGTGTGGATTTCGGTGTCGTCGTCGGTGTGTTTGGTTCTCCGATATCGAGGTAGACATGTACGTGGACGTGTGTGTGTGTGTGTATGTGGGGTTTTGTTTATGTGAGTGGATGAAAGAGTGAGTGATTGTGTGAGTGATTGTGTGAGTGAGTGAGTGAATGAATTAGTGTGAGTGTGATTGTGAGTGAGTGTGTGTGTGTGTGTTAGTGTGTTGATTGATGAAGATGTGTTTTGTTTGTTTGTGATTGTGAGAGTTGACTGGCGAAATTGGTATCGGCGACGGTCGCTGTGGTCTAGTGGTTAGGACATTGCGTTGTGGCCGCACTAACCCAGGTTCGAATCCTGGCAGCGACATACCGGCTTTTGCACCCACCTACAAATACACTCACAAAATCCAACCATCAACCCCACACAACCACAAACCAACTACATTGTCGTCACTTCAATCGACTTCGCCAACATCAGTCAAACTTGTATGAAGAATTGTCGTGGGAAACAACCTGTTGGCAAACGCTATTCGTAGAACTCGATCCTTGTCGACTATCTCGACATTCCGAATGGCAACGTCACCACCAGATTCAGTGACTTGACAGTTTTGGCAGAGAGGCGTCTTTTCAAACATACCACACATTCGGTTCCCTTGCTCAGTTTCAATAAAGAAGGAAAGACCAGATGTGCAGTATTGGTCGATCTATTTATATTTCACAGGATCTCATCAGCTCCTGTGTGTAAATTCATTTTATGATTTATATTTTTTGTTTTTGTTTTTGATTTTTGATTACAGCTTGATTCCACACTGTATTCTTGGTACAAGTATGGAATTTTCAGCATGGATATCGGTATCCCAAATTTTGCAGGCCGAGCATAGATATCAGGTGTGAGTCGGAAGGGGTTCGAACCTCGGACCATGTGCATGGTCGGCGAGAGTCCTAACCACTGTGCCACCGACGCACAGGATCTCATCAGCTGTTGTGTGTAAACACTGCATTCGGTGTTCAGTGTGAAGCATTCAGACTTGATCTTCATACAATTATTGAATTATCTTCGTCATCTGTGTCTTCATTATTTACTACCAATGATACTGACATTCGAACGATTTCCAGTGAAATAATTGGTGTTTGAATATTCTAGTAGTGGGTAATTTGAGTCAGGTTGTATTTCCGTTCAGATGAGGTGGAGTCGAAGCTGAAGAAGTCAGTCCGCTTAGATGTTGTGAAGACAGAATGATTGAATCTGGTGTTGTGTGGAAGTCTGTTGTGGAGACAAGGATGTTGTGGAGAGTGTTCCTCTGACAGTGGGAATTCAGATGTCGGCTGTCCGTGCGATGAGTGTTGGAGATAGATCTGTGTGAGTTGATTTGTATTGGGGATGACGATGATGCAGACGTCAATGAGGATAATGAGTAGGAGGAAGAGTGCGTTGAAGTGTCGGAGGGTGGCGATGGAGTTAATCATGATGATGAATAAATAGATGGCGGTGTTGTTATGATTGTTGTTGTTGTTGTTGTGATTGTTGTTGTTGTGGAGATGGTGATGTTGGTGGTGACTATTTCTGCCGTTGTTGATGATTGTTCTAGTGATGGCGCTCCCGGCGCTCGTCTACACTGTGAATGTGCATGTGCATTTGGTCATGACGTTTAGTTGTGTCGAAAGTGTTGATATGATGAATCGATGCGTGTGTTCGAGTTGTTGATTGGATAATGATTGATCGTGTGGATTTCGGTGTCGTCGTCGGTGTGTTTGGTTCTCCGATATCGAGGTAGACATGTACGTGGACGTGTGTGTGTGTGTGTATGTGGGGTTTTGTTTATGTGAGTGGATGAAAGAGTGAGTGATTGTGTGAGTGATTGTGTGAGTGAGTGAGTGAATGAATTAGTGTGAGTGTGATTGTGAGTGAGTGTGTGAGTGAGTGTGTGTGTGTGTGTTAGTGTGTTGATTGATGAAGATGTGTTTTGTTTGTTTGTGATTGTGAGAGTTGACTGGCGAAATTGGTATCGGCGACGGTCGCTGTGGTCTAGTGGTTAGGACATTGCGTTGTGGCCGCACTAACCCAGGTTCGAATCCTGGCAGCGACATACCGGCTTTTGCACCCACCTACAAATACACTCACAAAATCCAACCATCAACCCCACACAACCACAAACCAACTACATTGTCGTCACTTCAGTCGACTTCGCCAACATCAGTCAAACTTGTATGAAGAATTGTCGTGGGAAACAACCTGTTGGCAAACGCTATTCGTAGAACTCGATCCTTGTCGACTATCTCGACATTCCGAATGGCAACGTCACCACCAGATTCAGTGACTTGACAGTTTTGGCAGAGAGGCGTCTTTTCAAACATACCACACATTCGGTTCCCTTGCTCAGTTTCAATAAAGAAGGAAAGACCAGATGTGCAGTATTGGTCGATCTATTTATATTTCACAGGATCTCATCAGCTCCTGTGTGTAAATTCATTTTATGATTTATATTTTTTGTTTTTGTTTTTGATTTTTGATTACAGCTTGATTCCACACTGTATTCTTGGTACAAGTATGGAATTTTCAGCATGGATATCGGTATCCCAAATTTTGCAGGCCGAGCATAGATATCAGGTGTGAGTCGGAAGGGGTTCGAACCTCGGACCATGTGCATGGTCGGCGAGAGTCCTAACCACTGTGCCACCGACGCACAGGATCTCATCAG